AAAAAAAAAAAAAGAATAGGGAAAATAGGAAGAAATGGGAAAGGAAAAATAAAATAATAATTTGATAGGATGAGCAGACGAGTTGGGGATGTGATTAGGAAACGACTATTTTATTTGTTTGTTTTCTAATTGATTTGTTCTTTCCTCCTTTTTCTTTGTTTGAATATTTATTTGGCTACATTATCCGATTATTTTTCTATTTTTGCCTCTTTTGTTTCCTTGCCTTTTTCTTCTCACACTGTTGTTATATATAACTTCTTTTTGAGGTTTATCAATGGAGAGAACTATAGAAGAATGTTATAGACGTATATGCACTGCGCATACAGTGAACAAGTGAGCTTTAGTATAAAATATTTTTCGGTTGGTAACACTATATCCATATATAATACATATAGTTTAATATATCTTTAGTGTATGCTCAATACATGCACACTCTTGTTACTTTATAGTCACTGGTTGCTCTTTTTCTTTGCCCTTTCATATAATTACCCTTTTATAATTTTGTACTGTGAAGAGATTGTGGAGAACTGTAGATACTTGTAGATACTGAGCAGAAGCTTTCTGATTTGAAATTGACATCTGAGAATTACATACTTAGTAGTATTAATTTCAATTAGATCCCGTGGAATATCTTCAAGTTTACGAGTTGCTTGTTGCATATCCTCTAGCGGTTTCTGTATAACTTGTATGACTCATGATACAAAATTTTTATTAAGACTCAAGTTTGTGTGCAGTTCCATGGTTCCTGGTTCAAGAAATCCCATGTGGGGTGAGGAGTTCAACTTCTCTGTTGATGAGCTTCCTGTGGAGGTATTTTATTTAACACCTACGTTTGGCTAACACAGTCAAAAGAAAGAAATAAATTGAATCCTTATCTTAATAAATTGCTTGCTTAATTTTCAATTGATACCAGATCATCCAAAATAGAGGTTTTTATGTTATGTTGATAATTCATATTAAACTGCATTTCTCTTGTATACATTTAATTGGAGTGCTCCTTATTCCTTTACTCCATTATATAATCATCGATCTCTTGATTTACTTTCTAACTTTTTGCTCCTACTTCATTTAATCTTTCTTTCTGATGTTCTTACGTTATCCCTTTTTCATTACGCCTTCTTTTATTATTGTTTCTATACTTATCCTGCCTTCAATCACGCGCTTACTAAGATATTCATTAACTTCATCATTTACTATAAATATAACTAAGAATACATGTTGGCTGTGACGAACCACAATAAACTAAATTCAGTGTGCGATGGAGTGCTTTATCTCTTATTTTCTGTATTGGAGGGCTATCACAATATACCATGTTTTTCAGTCCGTTTAAGAAACAATTGTTCAACTGCAAACTTTCATTTAAAATCCACATGCATGAATTTATAGGATCAGTCATCAGTGTGTCTTCAAAGCACGTGAACCACAATACCATCATAATTCCCTTATCTTATCACTTTTACTAAATTTAGTGAAAAGTGAAGCACGTTAAATAATCTTTGCGAATTGAGCATCACATGTATGCAGAGATCCTAGTGACCCAGTCATCCAAATGATGTCTACCATCAACCTCATTTTGTTCTTGAAGTACCTACTATTACTAACCCGAGTTTTTCATAATATGTGTGTGCTTTCTGGAGTCCTGTTCTCATGTTTTAATCTTGATGATCATAAGGGTAATACAGTTATTTTAGTTGAACTTCTTCTTTCTTTGCTGCCATGTTGTGGACCTTCTGAACCTGATTTTGATGTAGAGTAGTGAGCCTCAGAACATTTACGTATAATTTGTGTTGACCCTAAATTTGAGGAGCCCAAAGGACATATCCAAACACACTATGTGGAAAAGATTTTTTGAGATTATCATAATGATGAACAGTCAGTATAGAATTGAGAACTGGAACTTCATCCCTGAATTTGACCAAGAAATAATGTTGACAGGATAGGCAACTAATTAGCATACAAAAAAGCCAATCATCATTGGAATACTTTGTTTGCTATTTGCATAATGTGATATTTAGTTTAAAATTTTAGCAGATGCTTCTCTTCTTTTCTAGATCTGACTTTGATCTTGTTGTATGGGCAGGTTATTGTCACAATATATGATTGGGATATAATTTGGAAAAGTGCAGTTCTTGGTTCAGTGACGATTCCGGTTGAACAAGAAGGTCATACGGGTGCTATATGGTATACACTGGACAGTCCATCTGGGCAGGTCATGCATTGTTACAATGTGTCTTCTTGGGGGTTATAATTTTCTTTGTTTTCCCTTTTAAATTGGTTGGTGTTGTCTGATGCTGGATCTCTTTTTTGTTTCTTTAGGTCTGTCTTCATATAAAAACCATTAAACTCCAGAGGAACTCTCCCAGGTTTTATTCTTAATAGTTAAAAGTTATCCTTTTTACTGTGGTTCTTTATGGTATTTTCTTATTGATATTGTCGTCATTGTTACGGATTCCTTTTTGTCATCCTCTCTCTTTTGCTGCTGTTGTTGACTGTCTAGCTTTGCTTTCTAACTTGAAATATATAAAACATTTGCCTGGGTGCAAAGAGTATGCTTTCTATTTGACTGGCAAAGATTGCAGATAGAATTATCCCTTGTTTAAGAGTGCAAAGTTACTCTCTGTCTGAGTTACTGGATTCTCCTTGTAGGATTATGACTTAAGAATATGCTTTCTGATGCAGGTTTCTGCCAAACTGGCAAACTCTAGTGACTCTTTCTGTTTTTCTTTGTATCTTCTCTTGATGTCAAAATTTTTAAACATGTATTAGATTTGTATGTTATGCTAGTTCATGAGTTCAAATTTTGCTTAACATGTTGGCCTAGTAGATCCTCAACTACAGTCCTTTGATTGGTATGATGGTGTGCATCCTTGTTCTTACTACACTCAGTTAACTTAACCAAGTGACAAGCAGGTTTCCCTTTAATATATTGACTATAAATCGCTCTAGCAATTAGGATGAGCCAGTCTTATTCTATAGGGTTTGAGCGATGCCCTTGATTTTAGAAATTTTAAGCAAGCTTGTTTGGCCTCAGCAATTTCCATATGCAAGTACTACTAGAAGAAAGATTATAATTTGTTGTGTGCAGTCATTTATATTTATATATAGGCTGATCAAGTCGCTTTCAATAATAATAATAATAATAATAATAATAATAATAATAATAATAATAATAATAATAATAATAATAATAATAATTAAATTTTAGAGATTGTCATCTTACTTGCTTTCCCTGATGATCTCTTTATTCTGTCATCAGTAGCGTGTAATTACAGTTGTGTTGATTTTCATAAACAAAAATATCTGACTGATTGTTTGTACGCACATCTTTAGTGTTTCCTAAGTTTTATATGAGCTCATTTGATCTACTATATGACAGAGGCTTGAATAACTATGCTGGTGCCAACACTCGAATAAGAACTTTGGATAAACAAGGACCTACAGTTGTTCATCAGAAGCCTGGGCCACTACAGACAATTTTTAATCTTCTCCCAGATGAGGCATATTTCCCTACTTATTTTACATGATTAAATCTTAAACTTCCTTTAACATGCCCTTTTTCTTATATTTCACTAGTTAGTATCTTTGTTATTTTTGTACTATTGTAAATTTAGTTGCTGATACTGATGGCATTGCTCATCAGGTTGTTGAACATAGCTATTCTTGCGCGCTTGAGAGATCATTCTTGTATCATGGTCGAATGTATGTATCAACATGGCACATCTGCTTCCATTCTAATGTTTTCTCGAAGCAGATGAAGGTTAGTTGATTATATTTGGGTTTGCGTTTTGCTTGTTTTGAGGGCTCAGATCACTTACCAATATCACCCTGGAATATTTCTAGAAGATTTAATCTTTGTAATCAAGTTCATTGATCGTTTGGTATGAATCTTTAATCAGGTATTTTGATTCGATTTACTTGAATCATGTGCTGTGTGTCTGTGTATGTGTGTATACCTCTCCATGTAGAGCTTTTCTCAGAGAAACGTGAACTGAACTTTTTCACATTGTCTAAGGCTGGTGACTAGGCTTCTGAGGTGTAAGTTAATCGACCTTCTAAGGCTTTGCTTGTTGATTGTATCTACATTTGCATTTTGGCAGGTAATTATCCCTTTCGGAGATATAGATGAGGTATAATGCCCCGTTGTAAACTGTCTATTTATATGGTGGTGCGTATTCGCTAGTATTAATGGTTAAATGTATTCAGTTGGTTTTCTATCCCAGATAAGGAAGAGTCAACATGCATTTATAAATCCAGCTATCACAATAATTCTTCGGATGGGTGCTGGGGGGCATGGTGTGCCTCCTTTGGGAAATCCTGATGGTTGGTAATTGTTATGTTCTTTCAAACTTCCATGTATGAATTAATTTATTGTCCTCTCTTATGTTTGAGAAATATTGATGTATACTTAATTGGTACATCCGGAGGGAAACAACTTCCATGTCTCTCTGATAAATATGTGAAGAAAATACATTCTATTTTAATATTCTCTTGTTTAGTTGTGATTGTAGTCTTGTAGAGATTTATCTGGTGTTTGGAAATTTTTGTGAGGCAATACCTGGGAGAATTCTTAGCATTCTTGCTGCTCGCTATTAAACAAAGTGAAGGAATGTGGTTGGGCACTTTAAATATAAATCCTGTCAAAGTAAATTTGATCTGTGCATAAAGGAATGAGCATCCTTCTTAATTGAAAATTGCCTAATAGTGCTGTTTTAAATAATATATTTTTAACTAAAGGAACTTCATTTTACAATGTTTAATGTATTATTCTCCTTTTTCTATCTTTTCCTTTCAATGTTACTTTTTTATTTTTCTAGTGGGTTGGGGGTGATATTGAAAGTTGATGCCTGATCGTTCTTGAATATAATCAAATTTTTGGATGTGTGGTGGTCTTTTTCAACGAGCTGTTTTTCCTCTTTCTGGGTTCCTTCGTTTGATACCTGACATCCTCACCGTGAATGAGACTAAATCTTTGGGGAGAACAGATTACGTTGGCAAAAATAATTAGGTGAAAAAATTTCCTCCAATACTGCGGAGTTATATGTAAAAACTCGTTCCTAATTCAACAACCCTATATCACATTTTGGAACGGTAATAGAACTTTCCAAAACTGCTACTTGCCATATGGAAAGAACCTACACCCACCCACCCACCCTAACCCCCCTCCCCTAAAGTAAGAAGAATGTTATATAGATTCATCTAATCTGATTTCTTCCCTCGTAGCATGCGTGATCTCCAACTAAAGCATTCAAGATATGCTAAAAATACTATAGAAATTAAATACCCCAGTTTCAGTGCCTTGATTTTTCCAACATTTATTGATCTATTGTACAACTGTTGTGGATGTATGTCTTAGAGAGTTATATCTACTTGAAGCATGGAAGCTATCCGTGTATAGGATACTATAACCACATTTATCTTTCAGGTAGAGTGAGATACAAATTTGCATCATTCTGGAATAGAAATCATGCTTTGAGAGGTTTACAACGTGCAGCAAAGAACTATCACGACAGGCTAGAAGCTGAGAAGAAGGTTTGGCGGTGTCTACTTCTTTTAGATCTTTGTTTCCTGTAATGAGCATATCAATTGAGATATTAGCATATCATTTAAGATATTTCTATGTCATCTGGTTGATTTAGTTTTTAACTTGGATATATGTCCCATTGCTGGGTTGATTCCAATTGGTCGTACACTGTTTAGTTGACTACCAAAATACTGACATGTATCTTTTATTGATTTTTTGTGTATATGTAGAATAATTCATTCAGCTAACTAGTGAATTCCTATTACTTGGATTTTAAAGAAGGTGCCTATTATTTTTAGATGATAGGCTTAATTAAATAGGAGTCAGTAGAACCAATGGCTTTAGACGTTAGGTGGATGGCTTTCTTGTAGATGTTACCCATAAATTTGTGAAAAGATCATAATTATCTGTTTTATTTTTTATGCTTGAGGTGTGCATGGCTTCTTTCATTGCAGCTAGTACTTTGATTAGGCACCACTAGATGTAGTTCCGCTCCTTACATACCAGTATGTAGTGACCACAAGAAGATTGATGTTTATTTATTAATTATATATATATTTTTTTTAAAATAAATTGCTGTTGGAGGTCGAATTTGTTAGCTTATAGGCATTCATTTTCTTTAGTTCATTTATTCTTTTGTGTAAGCAACAATCATGCATATTTCGATCTGTTTTCTTTTCGTACTCAGGAGAAGGAACAGTCTGCATTGCGCGCGCATAGCAGCTCTATTGGAGGCAGTAAAAGGCGACCCAAGATTTCTGAGGAGAATGTGCCCAAAACTGAAAAGTTTCAACCATTTATCAAAGAGGAAGTGCTTTCTGAAATATACAGCGTATGTCACATATTTTTATTTTCTACAACCTTTGGTCATATGGTGACTGGTACATTTTATTCAATTTTTTATCTGTATAATTGATTTGCAGGATATTTTTCCAAGCACAGCGGAGCAATTTTTCAAACTTTTGCTAGATGATGGTTCAACCTTCACAAGTGAATATCGTAGTGTCCGAAAGGATACGAACCTTGTAGTAAGTAAAAACAATATACCTGAATTGTGTTTTTGCTTTTGTCTAGTATCGGATTTTTTTGCTTGTTGAAGTGAATCATGCCTCACTGCTTTGGTGCTTTCTTATTTAAGTGATTCCCATGAAGCAAACTTTGGGCTGTTAATTTTACTCCACTTGCATGAATTGTTTGTGAAAATGTTAAATGTATTCAGGTACTAGCAGTTGTGTACTGTTCTCTAGGGAAAACTTGAGGCAATAGTACCATATACTTATTTTACTTCTATAATTCGTTATTAGTTATGAGTTATCTTAAGTTTTGTCATACAACTTTCAGTTGGGTCAGTGGCATGCGGCTGATGAATACGACGGTCAAGTAAGAGAAATTACATTTAGATCCTTGTGCAACAGTCCAATGTGCCCCCCGGATACAGCTGTGACTGAGTGGCAACATGCTGTTTTATCAGCTGATAAGAAAACACTGGTGGGACTCAGCTTTATAAAGGGTACAACTGTTCAGTAATTTTTTGGTTGGGTGCCAATGATTTGATTGTGCTTTTTGCATAATATGTTCAGGTGTTTGAGACTGTGCAACAGGCCCATGATGTTCCATTTGGATCATATTTTGAGGCAAGTACTATCAGTCATTCATTTTTCTTCCTCATTTGTCCAGCCTCCATGCATATGCCTAGAGTAATACATTAAAAAAAGTATGCATACCAGGGGCCGAGCCAGAAAAGCGAGTTGGGAGGCCTAATTCTATCTTAAAATATAATATTAATCATTTTTATTTATATTTTTGTGTTGTATGAAGAAAAATCTTTACTGAGTTTTAAAAATGTTTTAACTTAACACTGATAATAAATCCATGATACATGAATATTTCTTTAATCATAATCGTAGACTTAATGTGTACGTTGCTAAAAATATAAGCATTCAACAACGTAAAAAATGATTGTGTAATTTAGATTGATAGGAAACAATACATGAAGTAAAATGAGTTGAATTTTAATTTTCACTATAAGACAATTAAGGCTGGGATGTACTTGAAGAATTTTTACTTTTAGCAAAACTAAAAACACAGCTTGTACTAAAATTCGATTAGTATGATGCAAAATGTCTCTCCTATTACACCTTATTATTTACTAATTTCATCTCTTTATATGTGTCTTGTGATTTCAGATCCACTGTAGGTGGTCATTTGAGTCTAACTCTGAGTCCTCGTGCACCTTGAATATCAAAGCTGGTACGTTTCAACTACTTCTGCTTCAGTCTCTTGCTTAATTGGACAATTTATCATAGATAGTATTCAATGTTCTAATAAATGATTGACCAAGCTGTGATGGGAGGACCTTAACAAAATAGAATCCTTAATATGCAAA